TGTGCAGTGTGGACTCTGTCTCCTCTCCCCCTTCTCTTATGCATGTATGGGCATGTATGAGACTGTCTGTGTGTGAGTGGCGGTATAAATCGTCAAACAACCAAGGTCATAACATGTGTGTATGTATGTGTGTGTGTGTGTGTGTGTGTAAGAGAGAGAGAGAGAGAGAGAGAGAGAGGGTAGTTCCATCGAAAGGATGAGCAAAATCAAATGAATCTACCGCTAGAACATGGAAATATACAATGTTTTTTTTGTTTTGTTTTGTTTTTGTGTGTGTGTGTGTGTGTGTCCGAAAACTTAGCAACTGCCGGGGCATTTTGCAAAGTTCGGCAGCGTCCGGTAGAGGTACATTGCAAAGATGGGATCCAACTGATGGCCGGGGTGTTTCGCAAAATGTTTTGTCATCGTCCTTCGCCGCAACGTAGTTGTGGCAGGTTCACTTGTGTTAAAAAAAATTAATAGAAAAAGAAGCACGTAGCCCATCTGCTTTCCCCTCACAGTGCTCACACAAGTGTGAGGGGAAAGCAGATGGGCTACGTTCTTTTTCTTTTACAAGAGCTGAAGAGGGAAAACTTAGTCTTGTAGCATGGTGTGGGCAGATTGCAGCACGATCTCACAGCTTGAATCGCGCGTCTTGCACGCACTACGTGGAGGAAAAAGAGGGGATCATCCATCGTTCAAACCATGTGTGAGGGGAAAGCAGATGGGCTACGTGTTTTTTTTTTGACAGGTGCGTCTTGCATGCGAAGGTTCGAATGGTGGATGATCCCCTTTTTTCCTCCACGTTGCACGTCTTGCACGGTTCAAGCTGTGAGCTCGTGCTGCTATCTGCCCACACCATGCTATAAGATAGGTTTTCCCGTTGTATCTCTTAGCCCCAACTAGCGGGGTTTAGACTTTTTTGCCAAGTATTCTCCAACGTCGCAACAGTGCCGCTGTGTGAGGTTTTGATCAGATGGGGGGTGAGTACTAGGTGGAACTTGGGATGGCGGGTGAGTGGAACTTCGCATAGGCAGTGGATTCTCTCTCTCTCTCTCTCTCTCTCTCTCTCTCTCTCTCTCTCTCTCTCTCTCTCTCTCTCTCTCTCTCTCTCTCTCTCTCTCTCTGTATCTATTGTCATATCTGCTATATACTCAAGAAAAGCATGACTGTGCCAAATTGGACTTTCACCGACTCATCAGGAGGTTGTGTGTTTGCGTGTGTGTAAGTGATAAGTCTCAGGTAGGTGGGGAAGTCGTGTTCAACTGTGTGCCATAGTTTTTTTTTTGTGAGGCCTTGCAACGTCATGAATAAAGTATTCGACATCGAATGTGCTTGGCATTTGCTGTTCGATATGGAATCCGATCATGCATCTGAAATAGTGCCATTATGGTGGCAGTGCCGAAGTGTCTTGGAGCATTCCCTGATACTGCAAAAGTTGTGCTTGACCCTACTGGGCTTGCATGGCTCCTCTATCTTAGGCCTGGGATCACCAGACCCATCTCAATTCACTGCCATAGTTGTGTGTGTTACGATGAGAGGAATGGAAACATGTAGCTTGTCTCTAGAGGCGATGGTCCCTCTCCCGTTAAAGCTAGTTGATTATTTCTCCTTGGTGTTCATTAAGTGATTAGGCATGCCACCTGACCTCAGAGGCATGCAAAGAGCTATCGTCTTCCTTGATAGAGCGTATGGTCATTGTAGATGCATTTAATGCAACTTCCAGTCTACATACAGCCATGACAACTGTGCGTTCTATTCGGGTGAAGACGGTAGGCAAGCTCCACAATAAAGTGGTGGCACGACAAATCAATACCTGTTTGGAAATGCCAGTCTAGGCATTGGATTCTCCATTCCTGTTGCAATGGAAAAAAAAGGGAAACAGGAAAACGAATTGACAGCTAACCAACAAATGTCACCATTAAGGAAATCCATGGGACATCACCATTAGCTGTAGATCTTTCTTATCTATGGAAGAAAGAAAGGGATAGTATATTTCAGTGGTGGGTAGTTTCTTTATAGAAAAACAAAGCCCACCTCATTAAGGAAATCCGTGGGGCATTGCCACATGCTCATTTGAAATTCCGTGGATTTTTTTAATTTGATTATTTGCCACATTTTTCATTAATCGAAATTGATTATTTGACACGTAATAAAACTCAGTGCTGCGCAATTTGGCTTTTTTTTTTTTTTACATTTCACTTTCATCGATTAGATCAAAACCTAAAAGTTTGCTATGGTGTGCAACCAATGGCCACCTCTTCTAGGGTACTTCTCGTCGATGGGCTCCTCCAGGAGTTTCTTAGCTGCTTCCACGTCTTTGGTTTGTCCCCTGCTCCAGGAATTAAGGTTACCAAACCGGCTGCGTCGCACATTTATTATTTTTGGTGTTCTATTTTTCACGTTTATTTCTTTTAGGCGATAAAATCAAAAGTTATAGCTTTGTTGGCACTTTGGGTGAGATCAAGTGCAGTAGACAGAGAAATATTCTGAGCAGTTTCATGAAAAAAACTGTGAAAGAAATACGGCATGCCCGTGTTGTTCACTCGTATTTATAACGCACTGAAATAGTAAAACGACCCTTTTTTTGTCTGTGATAGAAAAATAGGCGCCACGATGCATACAAGCTACCGGTCTGCTGAATCTGGATTGATGGACTCATGTTCTTTGTCCGATGAAAACATTGGCAAGGGAGGTGTGCGAAGTGAGTCCATCACGGATGGTAGCAACAAATTGAGTTCTTATTCGAATCTAGATATGATGCAGTTGAAGAGCATGGTTGAGAGGGCATTGAAGAAAGGTGGCCCTCATGCCGACTATTTTCTCAAGGAAGAGAAAATGAGCGAAGCACCATGTTGGCACAAATTTGCTCATGTCTGTTCACCTGACGGGTCGGCAGTGAAGGCGAACAACAGTGGGTATGTCGCATGCAAGAAGTGTTTCACTGTGTATGCCTTCACTACTTCGAATGGGACAAGCTCCTTGAACAACCACAAGTGCAAGGTAGAGAAAGATGCAGGAGCCATGCGAGTCTTTTCGACAACTGTGCAGCCCTCAACTGTATAGAAAAAGAAAGTCGCGAGGGCAGTAGCATTGATGTGTTGTGATGATCTGTGACCATTTTCCATGGCTTCTTATTCTGGTTTTCAAATTGTCGCACATACCATTCTTGATGATGGTATAAGTTCAAATAGAGGGATGGAGGCAGAAAGTTTGTTGCCAGTGGCAAACACTGTTAAGAACCAGGTGATAGGAATTGCGGCAGACTTGAAGGTCGTGGTAAAGGTGTTGGTAGTGGACCCTTTTGCTGATCGTGCGTGGGCTGGGTTCACTGTAGATTTGTGGACAGACTCGTTGAAAAACAATTCCTTTATGTTTGTTACTATTCACTTCATTGATAAGAGTTTTAGACTCCATGATAGGACTCTTCAAGTCAAGGTTTTCCACAATGAGTCACATATGGCCCTTCTTGTCAAGAAAACTTTTCAAAAGTGTCTTGCTAAGTTTGGTTGTGAAGAGCACAAGTTGTGTCATGTCTGCTCAGACAGTGGATCCAACATGTCTAAATCTGAAGGTTTCAGAAGTTTGTACATGTGGCATCTATGCGCCGATCATAAGATCGCAACCATCCTCACAACTTTGCTATCCAAAGCTAAGTTGGCCAAATTTGGGCCTTTCTACATGTATTATGACAAAGCTCCTCAAGTTTATGATGTCATTGACTGTTGCAAGGATGTTGTGCGGTTTTCAAGCAAACAAATTTGTAGAATAGTCTAAAAACAACTTTAAAGCAAGAAAATGCAACGAGGTGGAATTCTCTTCTGCGTTTGTTGAATAGCATTATTGAC